GAGAATCAGGGAAAAATCAAAAGAGGTCATGTTATAACTTGGGACAAGAACTTCAAGTGTAGTGAACAACAGAGTAGCAAGTCTAGCCACACGGTTTACTTGGAGGAGCAAAACATTTTACTTACCTGGTCAACAAGTTGTTTGGTGCTTTCTTTTCTGAAAAGAGCTTGAAGGTGTCTGTTGGTTCCCAAGTCTATAACATTTGTCTTTCTTTCTTTTCCTTTCTTTTTTAAATTTTTTATTTTTTAGACTTTTTGACACAAGGTCTCACTATGCAGTTCAGGCTGGCCTTGAGCTTGCTTTGTAGCCCAGGCTGGTCTTGAACTTGCAACGATCCTCCTGCCTTAACCTTCCTAGTGCTGGGATTACAGGGGTGCTCCACCGTGCCTGGCTGGTGTTTTCTTTCTTTCGTTCTTTCTTCCTTCCTACCTTTCTGTTGTGGGTACTGGGTTTTACCCTGGAGAGATAAGTCTAACTACTCTCTTTACCTTCATGACAGAAGGAGTGGTTAGAAGGGTTGTGTAAGGACTTTTTTATTTGGAAGTGGTTGGTCTTGGGGCCTACTCTCTTTCTACATGCCTGACTGTATGAGCATGTTAGACCAGAAAGGCATATTTGAACTCAGTGTATACATTGACCCTCTTGTCCTGGGCAAGTTGGGGAGCTCAAGTGAGGATAATAAGTTCTGTCTTTTGGGCAGAGGTCCCAGGAGGTTGATCTCTTGCTTCAGTGACCTGGATAGGACTATGACATAACCTGCTCTCTGAATGCCATCTATTATGAAACTGCTGTCAGCAAACCATGTGCTAGCCAGCCTAGCCCCTGTTCCCTCAGGTTGGGTTGCTGGCATAATTTGAGGCAATGGTTTATTCCCATTTATGTTCTCTTAGTTGGGAGGAAAGTGGCTGGGTATAGACTGGTATAGACTGAAGAGAGACATCTGGGTTTTTCATAACGATGGCCTGATATGTAGTGAGCCTTTCTCCAGTCATCGTCAAATGTCCCTGGAGCTCTGAAAGAGACTTCTTTACCTATTATGGGATTTGAACCAAGAGCTTTTGTCCTGCATTTATTTTAGAAACCTTCTGAGTGGTTTAGTGAGTGTCATAGTGAGTGTTGCTGAAAGACAGGTAGCCCAGTCCCATCTCACTTCATCTGGTCACTTGGAAAAGTAGATGATTGGTTGGGTTTCTTGGTCCAGATACTGAGTTAGCATTCCTATGGCTACTCCGTGTTTTTCAGTCATAAAGAAAGAAAAGGGATTAATTAGGTCTGGGGTTCCTAATGCAGGGATCTGCATCAGGGACCATTTAGGGCCTTAAGAGCCTCTTGAACGCTGCTGTCTATTTCAAGGATTTAGCTTCTGGTCTTTGGATTCCCTTATACAGTAAGTCCTTAATGTATGAATGAGTTCCATTCTAGGCGAACATAAGTTGGATTCATTCAGAAGTCTGACAAAGTGAGTTTTATATGAACCCTGTGAAAGGTCACAATCTGAATGTTCATAAATCAGGAACTACTTTATAAAAGCTTGGATACTACTCAAAAATGGGGTATCCATCTCTAATAGATCCCCACCATTCCCAAGAAAGTCCTCAGCTGCTGTTTAAATCTGGGGAACTCAGATGGCCAATTGCCTTTGTTCTCCTGGAGAACAGTTATTTTTGTCCTGGAGTTAAAACATATCCCAGATATGTCATTTTTTGTTGAGATATCTGGGTCGTATGTTGGGGTACCTTTTAACTTCTTCCTGTTGGAAAACTGAGCCTTAAGGGGCTGGGGATTTAGCTCAGCGGCATAAGCACCTGCCTTGCAAGCAGGCAGTCGTGAGTTCGATCCTTGGTACCGATAAAAATGAAAAAGACAAAAAAAAAAAATGAAAAAAAAAAAAAAAAAAAAAAAAAAAAAAAAGAAAACTGAGCCTTAACAGTGCCAGTAACAGTGCTGAGGCTACAAGTGAGAAGGTCATCTATGTACGGTAATAGGCCTCCATTTTTGAACTTTAAGTCTCTCAGGTTTGAGCTAAGACCATGAAAACAAATTAATTACCTTTATGGGAGGGGTATCTTTAAAACACTGAGACAAGATAGTCCAAGTATACTGTTGGTGAAGTTCTGTTTGGGAATCTTCCTATTCAAAGGCAAACATGTATTGAGAGTTAGGATCCATGGGGATAGAAAGAAAGGCATCTTTGAGATCTAGGATGGAGAACCATTTAATATCGCCTGGGCTCTGTGTTAAAAGGCTGAATGGGTCTGATACTAATGGGTGAGTCAGGACCATTGCCTCACTTGTGCCTTTGACATCTTATACTAGGCGATATTCTTTTGGTACCTTGATTATTGGTAAAGTGGGTGTATTGCATGGGGATTGGCATGGTACCACCAACTCTGTAGCCAAAAACTTATCAATAGTGGGCTTTTCCCCTTGCCTAGCTCCTTTCTTTAGGAAATACTACCACTGTATATAACATATGTAAGCATACGGAGGGTGGGGGCAGCAGAGACCACCAGATTTGAGTAAAGGTAATTGGTGTGGAATTTATTAGACCTGAGAGCAATAAGACCCCCTCCCCCACACACACACAGAAAGCCACCTTCCCCAAACAAAGAGAAGTGTGTCCCTGTTATGGGGACGGAGAGAAAAAGATGGGACATTAGGCAGGAAGATTCCAGTAAACATCTGGGGTCAAAGTTCTCTGGCGGTTTGTATTTTAGTGGGCAGTGTCCTTGAAGTATCCGGTATAAATTCGAGGTGTCCTCAGATGGCCCAGGATCTGCAAAATTCTTTGTCTTATCTTATTTTCTTCCCTGTGCTTACTGATGATAACCTTGGATGCTGATCTGAATTTCCGCGAAGAGTAGTACTTCTGCTGGCCAGCCCCTGAGGACTGGAAGAGCCAGGTCCTTATGCTGCGAGGATATGGATTTGGGTTCTTCGGCTGAATGACTGGAATGTTTTGGCTTTTATTTTGTTTGCTTGTTTTTGGTACCAGGGATTAAACTCATGACCTTGTGCTTGCCAGGCAGGTGCTTATGCTGCTGAGCTAAATCCCCAGCCCTGGAGTTGTTGTGACAGCCCTCCCTGGGGTGCCATCATACTATTATAGATAGCTATATTAGGTTCTGAGTTCAGTTTCTCATACCAAAAACAAAACAAAACAAAACAAAACAAAAAAAAGCCATCTCTGAGAGATTCTGTTAAATGGTCATTTTCAAAGTTTGCCCTCTAGTAAAACAGTACTCTTATCTTTTAAAAGTTTTATTTTCTTTTTCAGCCTCACTATTCAAATCATATAATAAATAGCAATCTAAGAAAAATACAGGAGATCCCCACATTCAGAAAACTGAAAACAAAAATTTGTCATTACTGCTTCTATTCCCCCCAGTATTAGGACTTGAACACGGCCTCAGTCCATGCTAGGCAAGTGCTCCGGCAGCCCTCGCCCTTCCACTGTTTTGTTTGGTTTTGGAAATGGGGTATCACTCTGTTGATCAGGTTGGTCTCGAGCTCCTGAGTTCAAGTGATCTTCCTACTTCAGCCTCATGAATAGCTGGGACTATAGGTGTGTATCTCTGGGTCTGGCTTTTTTACTATATATGTGTTTTTTTTTTCCCAAATTGCTTTTTAAATTGATTTTTCTAAGAGAATAGTGCTGAATCTAAATTTAAATTTAATATTACCCTCTGATGTAAATAAGGAGCTGAGAGTCAAACATAGCTCTGTCTCTTCCTATATTCCTAAAGCACTTTCTAGTACAATTCAGCACAATATTTTCTAGTACAATTTTATACTAGTGCTTCAGGCCTGAAACAGGTTAAAGGAGTTTTTTGGGGAAGGGTGGCAGAAGTGTCTTAATACATGACTTTATGCATAAAAATTATTCTTAAACTTCAGAGTTACAGAAAGGGCTCAAAGAAGAACAAGTTAAATAATAATTTTAGTTTTTAAAAAAATCTTTTTGAACACTATGTACTAGGAACTGTAAGATTACCTCTGTGCATTATCTTATTTTATTAGGTCTGTGGCGAGTATTCCATTCTCTGTTGTAGACCTGACCTCCACGATACGGACTGTTAAGAGTTTTTAAAACATTGAAAGATCCAGGAAGTACCCTCCTTGGGGAAGCCCAGCTCAAATCCCTTCAACTGAAACTGTGGTGATTTCCAAGATCCTCTAGGTCTCTAGCATCACTTCTGCTTTTCTCTGTCTCACTCAGTAACGACCCCTGGACTTGGTCACTGTGTAAGGGCAGCTTTACATTCACAGTGTAGGTTTTCTAAGCGAATTTGCCTGTCGGTGTCATCTTCTTATAGTGGAGTGTTTAACTTCCTTGTTGGGCCCTCCGCAGAAGCAGCCTAAGCTCTTCCTGGAACTGTGAAGCTCTTTGTCCCAAAGCATAAATGCCACGGGAGTCCCATGCATACAATTAGTTGGGGGTAATTCATCTAGTACCCTGCTGTGGAGCAGGAAATTCTAGCTGGTATCATGAAAATAAAAATATCCCTGAAGGGGTCTGGAACTCTACAGGTTTAAAGCAGTTATTCCTTTCACTATTAGGGTCCTGCCCATCCCTATCACAGAACAAAGAAAGTTACTTAAACTATAGTGAGGAGGACAGAACTTCCCCTCAAGATTTTCCCTACAGGGATTCAAGTGGCAAGAAGGCTCTGGACGGTTCTCTGAGGATAGCTCAATTTTTCTTTCTGCTTTCAGGTTTCAGGAATGAGAAGTGCACGTAGTGGGTCCTTCGCTGGCTGGAGAAAGGCTGACAAGTCAGCCTCTCTGGGGCCACTTGGCAAAGCGCGGGTGCTAGAGGAGGGGATGTGCGGTCCGGTGTCCCGACCTAGACGCTCATCCCTGATCCGAGGTCGTCGAGGTACAGACAGAGGCCCACCCTGTCAGTCTGTGCAGTCGTAAGCATCACGAGCCTTTATAGGAAAATGAAAGTGAAAACCGGAAAGTCCCTTCTCTCTAACCTCTCTCGGCGACGCGGACCAGGAGACTGGTGACGCCCCCTGCGGGCCGGGCCCTGATTGGCCGGGGCGCACGGGGTATATAAAGCCCGAGCGAGCGCAGAGCGCGCTATAACGCGGTTCTTTGGAACCAGCAGGATGGCCCGCTCCGCGGCTCTGGTTTCGCTGGCCCTGCTGGCTGTGCTGGCCCTGCTGAGCTTGCCGGCTGTGGACGCCGTCCTCCGTGAGTGTCCCCCCTGCGCCGCCCATTCCCCGGCAGCTGTGCCTCTACAGTCTTGCTCAGGGGGGATCGCTGGGTGCTGCTCCGTGACGGGTCGAGCCCCGTGGAGCTGCCCGGGGTGAGGGTGGAGGGCCCGGGACGCGCTCTTCCTGTCCCCCTGGGGGGGGGGGGGCATCGGGGCGCGAAGTCTGCGCGGATCTTGAGCTGTGGGTGCGGCCCGGGGTGGGAGATTGCGTGGAGCGGTGTGGGGTTCAGGGGTCTGCGCCAGCCAGGTCTGCTGCCACTGGTTGCGTCCCGACCCGCGTGGGAAGGGAAACACCGCGTGGAGGGCGCAGACGGGGCTTCACACCCGCTCAGCAGGAGCTCGTCCTCGTCACTCCGCGCTTTCGAAATGCATAAGCCCGGGGCTGCGGGCTGTGCGGGGGGGCGGGGGGGGGCTTACGGACTTTGCCACTTTGGAAAATGTGCGTCGGAGGTCAGTCGTAGGGCCCTCGCGTCTCGGGAATGAGGAAACCGAGGTGCCTAGGTGTCAGGTAATTTAGTAACACGGGATGAATGACAATTGGCATTGAAATTAAACTCGATTAGTGCCTGTTTTCCCAAGTTTTTCTGCGCTTCCCGTGTGAGCCTGGGTGAGGCCAGAGGGGCCCTTGTTTTTTCTGCACACAGGGTTTCCTTTTTCTTTGGCTTCTTGCCCGGGTAGTTCCAAGATAAGTGCAGCTTCTACTTTCGGTTTTGAGAAACTGAGTATTTGTCAAAGGCAGAAAGACTGTAAAACATAAAGGTCATTTCAGATACTTAACAAAACTGCCCACCACACTCAAGATTTTGATCTTCTCTTCCTTCCCCTTCCCTTCTCTTCCCTTCTTTTTCTTTTCTTTTTGTACTGAGGTTTTTTAAGCCAGGTGTGCGCTAACCCAGAGCTACACCCACAATCCTTTTTATTTTTACTTTTTTATTTTGAGGTGGAGATCTTCCTGAATTGTTCAGGGTGGTCTTACACTTGAGAACCTCCTGCCTCAGCCTCCCGAGTAACTGGAATTACAGAAATTTATGTACTTTCTAAATAACTAACGATATACTGGACCCTCACAAAATCCCCAAGAACAGCATGTTGACCAAGGGAAAAGACTATGCATTTGAACCCAGTTTATTTATAAAATAAAGAATAATGTATATATCATCATCATTATTGATATTTGTTGTTGATTATAGATGTGATTTTAAAAAATAACCTGAAAAAAAAATAACAACCTGTCACAAAAAAATCTTATTCTGACAGTTTTCCAAGTAATGCATACCATGTGTAGTTTTGGAAGATACATAAAAATCTTTTAATAGTGATTGCCTCTAAAAGTCTTATTTTCTTCCCATCCTACGTATGCAGTTTTTTGTTTCTCTGTGGGCATGAATTAATTTTTCAGCAGAATTTTGGTAGTTTAAAATAATTTTTTAGCTGTGCATGGTAGCATATGCCTATAATCCAAGCAGTCTGAGAGGCTCAGGCAAAAGAATCAAGTTTAAGCCCAGCCCCAGCAAATCAACAATTTACTGAAACCTTGTCTCAAAATAAGAAAATAATAAAAGTGGAGAAGGGCTGGGGAGTGTGGCTTCCTGCAGAGGTCCTGGGTTCAATCCCAATACTAAAAAAAAAAAGTAACCTGGCCTGGGGTGCACATCTGTAATCCCAGTACTTGGGAGTCTGAGGCAGAAGAATCATTGTGAGTTTGAGGCCAACCTGGGCTACATAGTAAGTTTAGGACCAGCCTGAATTACAGTGAGATCCTGTAAAAAAAAGAAAAGAAAAAACAGTATATTTATATATTTGTATTGATGTCAGTCTGTATACTTTTGCACAGTAATACTTATCTACGTTTTGGATGTGAAATTTAGAAGTAGAATTTATAATTTTTTTTCCACTTTCCCATGAATGATCTAGTCATGTACTGCATTTTGTAAACCATTGTTCTATAATATGAGGTAATAGGGGAGCGGCTAATTAGAAATACAGATCCCAAACTTGGAAATCTAAGCAAGGAAGTACTGTTAATGATATCTGCTACTTACGGGGTAATTGCTGTGCACTAGGCGCTGTGTTAAGACATTTAATTTGTATTAGGAAGCCGGAGGGATATCGTATGGATGTAGGCAGGAGAAAAAGCCAAAAAGGAAGGGAGTTAACCTGAGAACACAAAGGCTGAAGCCATGTATAATGTGAGTAATTCGATGTGTCTGCTGTGGAGGGGGTGTGAATGAGAAATTAAATTTGAAAAGGAAGTTGGGACCTTGAGTGATAGAGTAAGAAATTCAACAGATGCTGAGAAGACATTAAAGGTTCTTTTATTTACTTATTTTGAAAAGTTCTTAAAACGTCAGTACAGCTGGGTGTAGTGACATAGGCCTGCAATCCCAGTACTTGAGAGACTGAGACAGGGGAACCCCATGAGTTTGAGGCCAGCCTGGATTACATGGTAAATTCAACACCAGCTTGAACTAGATCATCTCAAAAAACTGACCAAACAAACAAAGCACAGAATAAAAAAAAAAAACTTCAATATAATCTTCAGAGACAAAGATACTACCAGAAATTTCCTAGGGGAAAAAAAATCCAAAAGACATGTATAAGAAAATGATGTGGAAAAGATTATGGTTTATTTCTCAAAACAGAGGTAGTATTTGGGTAAAGTTGAAGGCAGTTTGAGAATGGAAGTGAATGCAAATGGCGAATGGAAATGAAATTGAGAGAAATAGATGATCAAATTGTTTTTGTCTGATGTGGTTGGAGACCAAATTAGTCCCAACTAAAATACTCTGACGATTCTCCATTGTTTTTTCCATATGTTTCTTAGATGCCCCAAGGGTTCAAGTGTATTCCCGTCACCCAGCAGAAAATGGAAAGCAGAATTTCATCAACTGCTATGTATCTGGATTCCATCCACCCCAGATTGAAGTCGAATTGCTGAAGAATGGGAAGAAGATAGACAATGTGGAGATGTCAGACCTTTCTTTCAGCAAGGACTGGACTTTCTATCTCCTGGTGCATGCTGCCTTTACACCCAATGACAGTGACGAATATTCTTGCAGAGTTTCACACATCACTCTGAGTGAACCCAAGATAGTCAAATGGGGTAAGTTTTCAAATTCTTTTCTTACCCAGGTGTGGTGGTGCATGCCTATCTGTAATCCTAGCACTTGGAGGCTGAGGAGGGGATCACAAGCTCGAGGCCCATCTGTATTATATGAGAGTCCCTGTCTCAAAACCAAAAAAATAAAACCTAAATAAACAAACATAAAACTTTCCTTAGCTTTGAAGTTGTATCAGAAATTCTGCAAACTGGGATCTGCGATTTTTAGGGAATATTCTGAAAGCATAATGAGAAGCACCTGCCGAGAGGTCTCTGTCCAGCTTGTTCCGTGAGCCAGGAATGTCCCTCCAGTGAACAGAGAGCAGCAACAGTGTTCACATGAGCACAGGCACTCATTGCTGTCTGGTGGCTTTCCTGCAACCAGCTGGACGCTGGGCAGCATGGAGTGCCTCAGGGGGGCACAGAGCTTGCCCTGCAGCCCCACTCTCCCGACATGACAGAACTGTGGACTTCTGCAGTGCTCTTGGGCTAGGTTTGGCTGTGAGGCAGGCAGGGGTGGGTCCTAATGGAGAATTCTAAACTAGTGTCCAAGATTAGGAACAGTGGCTTGTGCTGGCAGCTTTACTGCTAACAGTTTTGGACATTTGTAAGTATACAGTATTTTAAAAGTAAAACAATGTTTTCTATTTTCTTTTTCATAGATCCAAACAAGTAACTCGAATCATGAAGGTGAGTTTTTTTAAATCTTAAATTTTGTTTTGTTTCAGTAGCTGAGAGACTATTTATAGACAGCTGCAACATGGTAAGCCTCACTGTAGGAAAGATGTAAATTAGACTAGCATGTCAGCGGCAAAAAGAGTCCCACCAGGTCACATTGCCTTCTGTGAAGTGGCATTAAGAGAATGTGTGGTTACAAGTGTGGCTCTGCCAACATCTGTGCTCTAAAGGCAGGGCAGAACCGCTGTGAGTGTGGGGGCAGGACAGAAGTGCCAGTTACCACGCCACGTGTGAGAGTTTGATCTTTCTTTGGCCATTTATGGCATTTCTGAGGAGGAGGCTTTTAGAAAAGGACTCCCCCCTTCCTTTACTTGGCAATTACTTTGTTCTTCGTCTAAAACAGCGGGTGACACTGTTCTGAAGACTTCTTCCATCTCTTGATTAGCCTCAGTGAGGGCTCAGTGTGTTTGTTTTCCAGAGGCTCTCAAGCCACCTGACAAAAAAATGGAAAAATGGTTGTAAATCCATGGAAAGATACAATAGATGTATCTACAGGAGTTATAGAAGCATGAACCAGAGATGAAACTGGACTTGTCTGAATCTTCTATTGGAGTACAGTGGTAGAAAATCCAGTTTTTCCAGTGAAATTCTATGGTGTTGATGTTAAAAACCCATTCAAATCTGCTGAATTCTAAAACAGGGAAACTGATTTGAGAAAGCATAAGAGAAATTGAGTCCTCTGCTCAGTCACATGGGTACTGAATGGTAGAGTCAGAGTTCAAATTTTACTGCCAGCATTGTTTCAAGTTTTAGACGCACCAAATGGATGTGCTCTTTGTGATGTGTATGTAGAATCACTTGCAGCTAGTTCTTATGAAGAGCAATCTACATAATAGAAATTAGGTAGATTTGTGATGAAATCTGTAATCCAAATAAAGTAATCATTTATTAACCTTCTCTTTTCTTTTTTTATTTCCGTTTTCAGATTTGAAGACACTTCAATTTGGAACAGGACTAATACCAAATTATTTCTTTGCTTTTTAAAAATTGATAAGTTTATATGCCTTATGCATCCAGTAAGAAAATTATAATGACATTAATTTAGGCATTATCTTTCTGTATAATTTTATTTTGGGCTCTCTCTGCATGTTTGCCCTTCCATGTAGCCTAGACTTTCGGGAAAGAAACCCCTGATTAGGGCCAGGGATATAAAGCTCAGCCAGCACAGTGCCTGCCTGGCAAGTATGAGTTCTATTCCTCTTACTAAAAAAACCCCAACAAAACCTTGAATACTAACATTTGGGTCTTAAGTATATTAAAAGAAATAATAAGACCTTTGATTAGAAATCTTATCTGTGGAAAATATTTTAATACTTTGGAGAACCACAAGAAAGGCTGGTTTCAAAAAAATCTATTTTCTTTTAACAGTGATTGGGCTTGAAGTTAGGGCCTTCTATGTACCAGGCAAGCACTGTATCACTGAGCTACATCAGTTGCTCCTAAAAGCTTTACTGAATATGATTTAAAGTAACCATTGATTATATTGTTGCAGAAAAATCATTATCAAACTGAATGGAAGACTTTGCAGTGGGGAGCATAGGCTGGTGGGAAACAGTTCCAAATCACCAAAAATTAGTCAGTTTAGAGTTCAGTTTAAATTCAATTTGTAAACAGGAAATATAAGGCTAGAGGGCGGAGGTGGGGTGGAGAGGGGTGGAAGTGGTGGTGTTTAGCTTGTCTACCTAGCAACCACAAGATATGAGTTTGGTCCCTGGTACAAAAAAGAAGAAAAAAGAAATTCAAGGCTGATAGCAAGTTATATGGCAAGCAAGCTAGTTCTAAGTAGATTCCTGGGAAGGAGGGAAGGGGTAAGGGGGTATGTATAAAGCAATAGAATTAAATGTCTCCTTGACTGGGCCAGTGTGTCTCAAACATGAAGTTACTGAAGCAAATTGGAAACAATGTATATTTTTGTAAGGAAACCACAAGCCTTGCATCTGGACACAGGGAAGTTGATCCAGGTTATGAGAGAAGCAGCTGCATGCACACAGTCAAGGCTGACAATTTAGCAGGCTAACTACATGACAAGCAGCAGAAGCACAGTCACAGGCCACTAATTGATTTTTTAAAAACTTTTGTGCCTAGATTCAAACTCATGAACTCATGCTTGTGAGGCAGTTGCTGTACCCACTGAGCTATATCCTCAGCCTCACTGATTATTTTTAACTTTGCTATAAATGTCTGTAAGTTTGGTATTCTGTAACTGTGCTCTTTCACAATATGCCAAGCCTTCATTAAAATCGTGTATCTTATTAATTGGGTGTAGTTATTTGTCTTGGGTCCTCTACAACTTGGATGATGAATGAGCCAGGCATGGTGGCACACATCTGTAATCCCAGCACTTAGGAGGCCGAGGTGGGAGAATCACTGTGAATTTGCGACCAGTCTAGGCTATGCAGTGAGTTTGTTTTGGAGATAGTGAGCCCCTGTCTCAAAAAGAAACACCTAAAAAAACAAAACAAAAAGCCCAGGCAGCGGAGGACACAGTTGGGAAGCACTAAGCTGAATTGATGCTCATTGCAGTAATGTGCAGGCTTCTCTTACCCATTTCCTTTTGGCTCACTTCCTCTTTTTACTGTTTTCAAAAGACAAAAATAAAAACAAAAACGCACAGATTTTCCTGACACACAGTGTCATAGAATTATTTGAAGTGGCTTTCTAGGTATCCTTAGCTGTCTCCTCATATGCATTCCATTTTCATCATTTGAAGAGCCAGTGAATGTCACAGGTCAGGTTTGTGTAGAAGAAGCCTCTGAGCCAAGGATCCAGCTCAACTGACATAAAGAAAGGGCTCTCAGGAAAAAACAGTAAGGGAGAGGGCCATAAAGACCTGAATGGGAAGGAGCCAAGGGGCTGGCCTTGGACGACTCATATCCTGTCTTCAGTTATACAGGATTGGGGGATGGCATGAAATAAGTACTTAGGTACTTTCCAGTAGTTGAGGGTAATGTGCAGGTGCTAGTTGTTTGCAACAAAATATATAAAAGCTGGGGATGGGCTTACAGAGATCAGGTGGGGTTATGGTGGTGCTTCAGTGAGTTTCCTATATGGGGCCTAAAACATAAGCAATTCCACATTCTTATTACAGATTCAAAGTTTCTAAGGGGCTAGCATGAAAATGTGAACACTAGTGGACTTTTAAGCTTAAATCGTAATTTCACGAGGAACTGGGAAATTGCTGACTCCGCCCTTTGTTTTTGTACTGGCTTTTGAACTTGGCCTCACACTTGCCAGGCAGACGCTATGCAGCTGAGCTATATCCCCAGCTCTCAGCCCTGTTTGGGATACGGTTTCATTGCTCCACAACAGTCCACTGTGGTTGGGGGCTTGGTCCACAGGGTACTGGGTGGTGGTGAAACCTTTAAGAGATGGGGCGTAATGAGTGGTTCTTCAGTAATTGGAGTTATACTCTAAGAAGATAGTGCTGAGACCCTCTGAGTTCTCCTGAGGGTTATTATAACTTTTATAATAAGCAAGCCCTCCTGTCTCCCATGCTTGCGCCTCCATTTTCCTTGGAACTATGAGGTTGCGTAGGTAAGGAGCAGCCCTTGCCATGGAACCTGTGAGATGCTGCTTGGTCCTGGAACCTCCAAAATTGTGAGCTAAATAAACCCATGTAAGTAATCTGTGGTGGATATTTTGTTGCAGTGATACAAAGCTGACTAATAAGCTCACCATATCTATAAAACGGGATAATTTTTCCTGTAACATGAAATTACTACATGTTCACTCATTCAGTAAAAAATGGCGCATCTACTCCCAGTCAGGTGCTGTGACATGGTGGTTCTGGGCCTGGGATGGCAGTGAGAAAGTTTCCACAAGATACACTCCTCTAGTTAACTGCTGATGTCCTGTGCATCTTTGTTTTCACAGTTTACTAGAATAAATTACCCCAAACCATAGCAAGGAAATATAAGGAAAAGCTTCTTTACACAGAGCTGCTGAACTTCTCTTTACTGAGCTTAAATACAAGGCAAACATGTGCTCTGAGCAGTTCTACTGAGCACAGGCCTACATGCAAACATCAGGTAGCCTCTGGATTTCTGAGAAGGCACTTCTTAGGGAATTCATCAACTCTAGGTGCACATTTAGGTGCTCCCAGTCCTTCCTTTGTCAAAATTCTTACTTTATTTCTCTCAATCTTTCCTGATCTCAGTTTCTGTATCTGTAAAATGAGTTGTAACTGGCGATGGTACAAGTTGCTTGTGTAAGAGCATTATTTGCAAGATTTATTTGCTAGATTTCCAGCGTAGAGACTCAGTGTGAAGCTCAGGCTTGTCAGACTGAGGTGGGCACAGTCTCTAGGAACCTGGGGTAGATTAGAGATTTCAAGCCAAGTCAGATTCAAGATTCTTTTTTTTTTTTAACCTTTAAAATAACAATTGTTTTTTGGTGGCTGTTTCACTAACATAACTGTAACAGGCTGCAGGGATTGATGTAAAGAAGCACCAGACTGTTGTGAACCAGGGGCACTGGAGACTAAAAGGCAAGCTATCTTGATGGTGTAGGTGGCAGTGATGGTGAACCTTTTAGAGCTTTCAGTGATAGCAAATAGCCACCTGCAGCACATGTGGTTTGCCACCACTGGTGCAGGGTGTCATTTTCTGAGCTCCAACAACGACTCAGATTCAGTTAGTATTGTTGGCTTTGTTGTCACTATTTGAAATGGTGAAAAGTCTCTAGATAATATTCCAAAAGCAAACAAAAAACCAAAATACAGCCTGTTTTGAATTGTAATGTAATGGTAGTTACATACTTGGAAAATTCAGTGTATAAGATACAAAAAAGTATGGTGACTATTTAAAATCATTGCATAATTTTACATATTACATACTAAGTATTTTATTAAATTATTACATATTGCCATTAACACTCCTCCAAATACTCCCCCCTATTTCAACCATACTTACCTTTCTTGCCACTATCTGCAGCAGCTCTGGAAGTCCTCTTTTGTGTCCTGGCTGCCTCCTTGTCCTGAATCAATTAAAAAACTTTCAGCTTCAGGGAAGAACCAGAAGTTACATGATGCCAGATCCAGGGAATGTTTTCATTTGACAGAATGTGAAGTAGCACAAACAATCCTGGCAACTCCAGTGCAATGTGTTGTTCAGGATCCATGGTTGATGGCACACTGTAAAACACCCCTCAAAACCTGAGCTTACAAACGACTGACTGCGCTGCACAAGTTGGGATTTATCACACACATGGTTACTACCGTTCAAGGGACTGCTGCTTCTTTTGAAGACCCCTGCCTTTCTGTTGGATGGCACTTGGCAGCAGTAGTCATTGTATTTTTAAATCACTCTTTTTATGTAAATTAACCTGGCATAGAAAATACTCTGTAAATATTCAAGAAATAAAAACTCCTGAAAAATAAAAGTTTTGCTGGGCGTGGTGGCACATGCCTGTAATCCCAGTACCCAGGAGGCTGAGGCAGGAGGATCCTAGCAAGTTCGAGACCAGCCTGGACTACAAAGTGAGCTCCAGGCCAGCTTGAACTGCACAGTGAGATCCTGTCTCAAAAAGATTAAAAAAAAAAAAAAAGTTTTATATGAAACTGTAAGTCCAGTTGTATAAACAGACTCCAGGATCCCGGACTCTCGGTCCCTAAATACTACAAGTAACTTCATTGGAACAACCAAAAACTGCCCCACTCATTTTCAAACATCGCCTAAAGAGAAACGTTGCGTGGTGTGGAAAGGCGAATTGCTGATCTAATCTGTGGGGCATGCATGGGTGGGACAGCGAGTTGCGCTTCTGCTTTCTGGGAATAGGAGGGCCTTCCAAAAAGGAAGTAAGAACGAGCCAAGTTCCCTTTCCTAACCTGAAGCAGGGTGTTCGACCTGGAGACTGGTGACGAACCTTGGGCTGGGTTTTGATTGGGCAATTGAGAAACTGTGAGCGATTAGAGATTGGCGGGACGCGGGACCCATCCCGCCCCCTTGCGGTGGAAGCGCCTCGCCCAGCCGCACCCCCCCCCCTCCCCGCCTGGGGCCCCAATCTGCACCGCTCCTCGCGGGACTCTGGGGTGCTGGGTCCTGCGGGGGTAGGCCGGGCGCACGGGTCACCGGATGGCTGCCCAGCCGCCTCTTACCGGCCGCGGGAAGCGGGAGGGGTGGGGGCCAGAATCGCGGGGCGAGGGTAGTGGCTAAGGAACAGCGTGGGCAGAGTGGGGTGCCGGGGGCCTCCGCGAGCGCCGCCTTGTCTTCTGAGCTTCCGCTTTTCTTCCCCACTGTGTTCTAGGCCTTGCAGCAAAACCCAGATCTCATGACTGTATTGTGCAACACTTCTGCCAACGCACATTTCTTTAACGAGATTTAATACAGAAACTACAATTAATACGTTTACAATATACAGTCCAGTGGGGTGTATTATAGTCTCAGGTTTGTGTGATCACACCTAGATTTCAGAACATTCTCCTCTCTTCCCTAAAGAAACCGTGTCCTCTTTAGCGGTTACTGCCCAGCCCCCTCCTATCTAGGAAACCGCGCCCTGTGCGGATTTCCCTGGTGTGGATCTTTTAGAGAAACAGAAACTCAACCGTGTGCGTTCTTTTGTGATTGGCTTTTAAAAAATTGTAAGTGGTTTACTAAACTTTAAAATTCTATAGTTCTAAGAACAGCGTATAGTCTCTTCACATAAACGAGATTACAAAAATTTTCCCATTTAAGTGAAATTTTTTAAGTTAATATTATTGGTAATTTTAGATATAGGTAGATAGACACAGATATCTGTGTCTGTGTATCTGTTAGGGCTTTCTGGTGCAATAGAGAAGCAAAAGGAAAGAAAAAGTGGCCTTTATTGAGAATGTGGAGGGTTGGGCTTTCTCCTCAGCCAGAGACAACATGGTTTTATGACCTCTGATGGAAGCAGCACTGGGGGCAGGCACGGATGACACATGAGGAACTAATTGGGATTCTCTTTGCACCCATGGGGAAAGGAAGAGGAAGAGGTAATCAGGGCTGAGGGGAAGGAGGAGGAAGTGGTCATTAGGGTAAGTCTTGTTTTTGCTTTGGCCCTCCACCACGTTAAACCACTGCCATAACCTCCAGGAATTTATGCTCGGGCAGAAACCTTTCACTAGCTATATTACAATGATCACATTCAGCAGAGGGAATTTTACCTATACATGGTATATCTTGATTTTTCTTTTTCTCCAATCCTCTCCTCTCCTGTACTTTCTTTACATCTTTATTTATAAAAGCTTTGTTTCCATTTTTTCCTATTGTTTTCTTTCCTTTCCTCTCTCCTTCCCCTTTCCATTTAAACATTTTTTCCCTACTTCCTAGTATCTTCCTAATATCCTTACACATTTTAGACTTTTTTTTTGTCTTTTTGAAAAAGCTGGCAAAATTTTTTCCACATTCTGTGGCTTGTCTGTTCATTCTGTTGTTGGTTTCTTTTGTTGTGCAAATGATTTTTTTTTTTTTTTTTGATACCAGGGATCAAACTCACGGCCTGTTTTGCTATGCAGCTTGGTCTGACCTTGAACTCACTTTATATCCCAGACTGGCCTCAAATTCACAGCGATTGTTGCCGCAGCCTCCTAAGTGCTGGGATTACAGGCATGTGCCACCACAGCTTGGCTACTATACATTTTGGTCCTTATATATCCTTTAAGTTTCTTATACAAGAGAAGCAATATGATAGTTAAACATGTGCTTGATTTATTTTATTTGAGTATAGTCTCAAGTTGTATCCATTTACCTAGAAATGTCTTAAGATTATCTTTCTTTATGGCAGAGTAGTATTCCATTGTATAAAAAACCCCACACTGTATTAAAAACCCATTTCCATTCATTGGTTGATGGGAATTTGGGCTGTTTCCAAGATTTAGCTATTACAAATGGTTTGTCTATAAATTTGAGTGTGCAGGTATTTTTGTGGTATGATGCTTTTAACTCTTTTGTGAATATGTGTAGAAGGAGAATAGCAAATGGAACCCCTGGTTTTAGCTTTTGAGAAATATCCAACCTACATGCCCCCAACAGTGGAGAAGGATTCCTGTTTCTCCACAACCCCTCCACCATTCATTATTTGCTTTCTTTTTTAAAATTTTAATTATGGGGCTGGGGATTTAGCTCAGCGGCATAAGCACCTGCCTTGCAAGCAGGTGGTTGTGAGTTCGATCCCAGTACCGATAAAAAAAATCACATAAAATTTTAATTATTAATTAATTTGTGGTACTAGAAATTCAACCTAGGGTCTTGTGTAAGGCAAGAGCTCTACCATTAGGCCATATCCCCAGCCCTGGCTGATTTTTTTTCATAATAGCAATTCTTTCTGGAGTAAGATGGAATCTGAGTGTTGTTTCAATTTGCATTTCTTGAATGACCAGTGATGTTGAGCAATTTTTCATACATTTATTTACCATTTTTACTTCATCTGAGATGTGTCTATTCATTTTGGACTTCTATTTTTGGACTGGGTCTTTAAATTTTGGGGAATCTGACATTTTTGAATTCTTTATATATTCTAGATATTAGTCTTTTGTCTGAGAAATAGCTGGCAAAATTTTTTCGTCATTCTATGTCTTGTCTATTTACTCTGTTGGTGGTTTCTTGTGTTGTGCAAAAGATTATTTTGTACCAGGGATCAAACTCATGACCTCGTGCAGGCCAGGCAGGAGCTTATGCCACCGAGCTAAATCCCTAGCCCTGTGCAAAAGCTTTTAAATAAAATGAGATCCCAGGTGTTGATTTTTTGTGATAGTTCCTATGAAATTTGGGATTTGTTCATAAGGTCTTTGCTGACACCTATATCTTAAGAGTTCTACCTATTTTATCTTCCGACAGATTTTCAAATAGTGTTTCTGTTTTATATTTAGATTTTTGATCCATTTCTATTTTACTTTAGTGCATGAGAGATAGGGAATCTAGGTTTAATTTTTGGCATGTGGAAAGCCAGGTTTTGCAGCACCATTTTTACTTATTATTACTTATTTTTGAGACAGGGTCTCACCATGTAGTGCAGATTGGCCTTGGACTTGCTTATATAGCCCAGGCTGGCCTCAAACACGTGGCAGTCCTCCTGCCTTAGCCTCCCCGGTGCTAAGATTACAGGCATATGCCACTATGCCCCACCTTCCAGCACCACTTTCAAAAGAGGCTTTCTTCCAGTGAGAGTGTTTGGCCCCTTTGTCAAAGATGAGATGGATGAGTATGTTGGAGTTGTTTCTGCATCTTCTAATTAATCTGTTCTATTGATCCTTGAATCCACTTTTTGCCAGTACCATGCTGTTTTTATCACAGTAGCTTTGTAGTATAGTTTCAAGTCAGGGCTTGTGATGCCCTCTGCCTTGCCTTTGTTGTGAAGAATTGTTTTTGCTTTTCTAGGTTTCTTCTGGTTCCAAATACATTTTAGGATTGTCTTCTCTAATTCTGTGAGGTATGCTATTGGTAATTTGATTGGGATTGTGTTAAATCTGTATAATAATTTTGGAAGTATGGCCATTTTCAAAGTGAAAAAATATAAATTTAGAACATGTTTTTAGGTAATAACTATTAATCTGTTATAGAAAATGTAGAAAACACAAAACTCTAAGAAAATATTTTAACTAGGAGTTATTTTAAAAGTTATTTTATAGGGGCTGGGGATTTAGCTCAGCGGCATAAGTGCCTGCCTTGCAAGCAGACAGTTGTGAGTTCGATCCCCGGTACCGATAAAAAAGAAAAAAAAAAGTTATTTTACTTTTTCAATATTTTAAAGTGATTTTAAATGTGTTTTAACAGGTGAGTCTGTGGGCTGGGGTGGAAGCTCAAGAGGCATAGCACCTGCCTGGCAAGCATGAGGTCATGAGTTTGATTCCTGGTAATATATATATAAATTACAGCAGCTTGGGAAGTTGAGCTCAGCCTGAAAAATGTATCAGCTTAGGGAGTCACTGTCTTGAAATAAGAAGAGAGCTGGGAAGGGTGAAGCCCTGTATTCAGTCCCCAGTAGCACAAAAACCAAAACAACAACAACAACAATTCTATTTTTATTTTTATTTTTTTGGTGTCAGGAATTAAACTCAGGGCCTTCTGCTTGCCAGGCAGGTGCTGTGTTGCTGAGCTATATCCCTGGCCCCAAACTGTATTTTAAAAAAAGAAACTTAGAAGTGAATTTTAAAAAGATGTGTATTACTTCTAGAAAGTTCTGAACTATTTACAGTTTTATGTGTGATGATTAATTTAATTTTAATGGTTTTAGTTTATTTTTGAAGGTAACCCTTACCCTTTTTACTGCTGAATAATAGTCCATATTCTCTTTGGGGAATGGGTATGGGTGCTGGTTCTACTTTTTCACTGTATGAATAATGTCATCAGTGTTTTATATGTAAGTTTTTTGATGAGGTTATAAATTTTCAGTTCTCTTGGGTACATACTGTACCTAGAAAAGGAATTGCTGGGTCACATGGTAACTGTATATTTAACCTCTGAAGAACTGCCAGATAACTTTCCAAGCTTCAGTCCAAAGCTGGATGTATTATGTTCCCACCAACAGTAAAAATTTCAATTTTTCTAAATTCTCTCCGAAATTTATCTTTTTGATTTGTGCTGTTCAACTGGGCATGGGAAGATAGCTCATTATGGTTTGATTTGTATTTCCCTAATGACTAATGATGCATTATTTTAAAATTTAAAAACAAATTTTAAAAAGGATTTACACACTGAAGTTTTGAACTGAAGTTACATAACTGAAGTAACGTAAGTAACTTTTCTAAGTCAAGTACCCCAAAATTTCAGAGCCTATACTCCAACCAAGTGTTTCTTTGACCAGTGCTCAACTCTCTCCCCTCTTTCCTAGAATAGTCTGAGATAAAATTTCGAAAGTCCAACTGTTGTTAGAGAATTCTGGGCAAGTTGGTCTGCACGTACACAGAATGGTTCATTTCTTATTTGTTATTAGAAACTCAAATATGTAAAGAGCATTTCAATCTCTCTACTTTTACTTTATAAAAAATGCTTCTTTGAGGTCTTAATGGCTCTTGGATGAAGTAGTGACTCTCTGTTGGTGCTTAAGTAGGTTGTGCGTCTCTTTATGTAAATTGCTTTTGGATTTTCCTTTTCCCTACTATCATTAGGGAATGCTGGGGATACGCACTCAGTTTCAAGAGTAGATAACTGTTAAAAAGCTTTTGTTATGTATCATATATTCCAAGGAGCCAGTTCCAGCCTCGTCTCAGTTTGGAGGAGTTTATAATTCCAGGGAAAAGTTATTGGAAATTTTTTTTTTGTTTTGTCTTTTTCCTTTTTATCGGTACCGGGGATCGAACTCACGACTGCCTGCTTGCAAGGCAGGCACTTATGCCGCTGAGCTAAATCCCCAGCCCCAAGTTATTGGAATTCTAATAAGTGAATACCAATTTACCCTTTCCAGTGCAACCCATGGCAAAAATAAAGAGACAAATACATATCTGCAGTTGTGGGGAGCCAAGGGAGTTCTGAGTCCAGTCAGAAAAAAAAAAAATAGTAACTGTGTGAAGGCCACAACCCAGGGACAAATAGGGGTTTTATTCATTTGTGAAAAGGGGAGTGATGAGGTTGATTACCAAGAGAATGGCAGGAGTGAGTACGGTGAGCTGGGCTAGGTAGAAGGCATGATAGCTCCCCTGCAATATGCAGAGAGAGGTATGCAGGAAGAGTACTGCATTCTGCTAACAGATAGCCTCCAGGGTGGATGAATCCTCATCACATAGTCTGAGGAAGTGTTGGGAGCCGTGGCACTGTCAAGTCATCAGACGCGGTGATTGCGAGGCCTGTAGGAAAGTACAAAAGCCTGAGCTAGATTACCCCTCTCATCGAGCCCGCCTGTGTGGCGCCTGTTTCCTGTTTCCTGATCCCTATCACCCCACTAATGTTGCTAGCCAATCAGCTTACGTGACCCGCCTTGATTTGATTGGAGGCCACAATCCTATATATAGCCAGTACCTCCACCCCTGGAGAGAGAAGCACGGAAGGAGCCGCGGAGAGCGGACCGGTAGAGGCTTTGGGACAGACTGTAGGAGAGAAGCACGGAAGGAGCCGCGGAGAGCGGACCGGTAGAGGCTTCGGGACAGACTGTAGGAGAGAAGCACGGAAGGAGCCGCGGAGAGCGGACCGGTAGAGGCTTCGGGACAGACTGTAGAGCGAAGCACGGAAGGAGCTGCGGGGAGCGGACCAACAGAGGCTTCGGCCGGGACGAGTCCCGGGGTAGACTGTGAAGGAGGAGAGAAATAAAATAGAATACTTCGCCACCGCCAGATTTTGTCGTGTGTTCTTCCTGCCGGCCGGGAGCGACACCGACAAGGAAGTATTTTGGGTGTTTGGTCAGTTGCCTCAGCTTTGATATCTGGCCTTCCTTCCCTGGACATCATGACCTCTTTCTCGAGGCTCAATCCCAGCCAACAGCACAGCTTTTTTTTTTTTTTTTTAGCCTCGTTCACACTTAGTAGTAGGGAGCTAGAGGCAGGCATCACTGACCTATCCATTGCTTCAAAGGCTACACATCATTGCCTCAGCCAGACCTGTTTACATTGCTCAAAGCCAATGGAGGGGTAGAGTATTTTCCTACCTAGCTCTGTATATATCAATACAGAGACATAAGACAAGGGCTAGCCAAAATGGAGACAAATAGTCTTCTTTCAGGAGAGTCATCCTGGTGGTCCTCCACAGTATACACACACATTTTATACAGATACTGTCACTCTCACTTTAGACGTTATCGATGTTCAGTTTTTCTGTCATTGTTTTCAGTTAAAAATTAAGACTGAGCCAAATATAGGGGCACAGTCGTATAATCCCAGTGACTTGGGAGGCTGAGGCAGGAAGACTGTAAGTTTGAGGATCTCCTGGGAAACTTAGCAAAAACCTGTCTGAAGTTTTTCTTTTTAAAGGGTTGGGGTTTAGCTTAATGGTATTGCATCCCTGGGTTTAATTCCTAGCACTGAAAAAAAATTAGACTGAACTGTTTTATAAGGGTTCCAGGAGATTCAACCCTTTTAGAAGCACAGTTGTGCTGGTAGACACAGAGACACTTGAACAAGACTCAGAATTCAAACATACCCAAAAATTTGAGTTCAGAATTCTTTTTTTCCTCCTAAATTCTTAAGTAAGTGCAAACATGATCAATGTCTGTGGGGCACAGAAGACATTAACATTTCCTTTAAACTTTGACATGAGTCACTTAAGATTGAAAAAGCACAGTGTATTAGTGTTGTGATAGCAGGTGGATTCCAGTCAATCCTGAGCTCTCTGTAGCTAAAGGGGGTTACCTCCTGATATGGCCTCAGATGCAGAATTGGTAGAATTTGGGGAAGTAGCGACCTTACCTATAAATGGTACAATCTCTAGTGATTGGCCTAACTCACCACTACTATTATGATTACTGAAGGAAGAAGGAGGCTAAGGGGAAAAGCAAGCTTACATCAAGGTCAAACTAGCAGTTATGTAGTAGGTAGTGATGAGGAGGGGTTCTATGTGTGACCGAGTCTCCTAGTGCCCTGGGAGAACAGATCCTAAGTCATACACTTTTTGATTATACCCAGTGTCAAATTTACATGCATGGGTACTCAAGTTTAACTGGGCAGATAACACATATACTTTACAGAAGGTGGGCGCAGGGCTGTGGATACAGCCTGGTTGGAGAATGGTTGCTTAGCATGTGTGTCAGGGTTGAATGGGCTGAAGGAGTTTTTTCATGTGTGAGGTCTCCAAAGAAAGCATGCAGAGGCAGACATCAGTAACACAGCAAACAGTTAAGGGGAGAGCAGAGCAAGAGCAGCCTACATCTTTACTGTTTAACTCTCATACATGTCATTATCACATACTTACATTCTTCTCTGCTACCCTAACCAGTGCACCCGTGGTTATCTAATGCTAAGTCATGGTTACATAAGTGTATCTCACTCAGTGCTTGCACTCGACTGTGGATTCACTTCCTCAGGTGTCCTCAGATTTCCCAAGCTTTGACAGTATGAGCAGTTTCCCACAATGTGTAAGGCCCTGAGGATGATCCTCAGCAACACACACACACACACACCCCACATACTGACACAGAATATGGCCACATCTTCTGTAGCTAATGCTGCACAGTTCCCGTAAGTGCACTAAAATTTGCTTAGTTTGAGGAAAATAAATAAATAAATAAATAAATCAACCAGCATCAATATTTGCTGGGTTTTCCCACCATGTAGGAACCATGGGTACTAGCAACCAATGCTATTTTATTTAATATTTTGTCTTTTTGAGACAAGATCTTGTTATGCACTTCAGGGTAGCCTTGAACTCACTTTCTAGTGTAGGCTGGCTCCAAACTCACAGCAATTCTCCTGCCTCAACCAATGCTATTTTAACAATTTTAAAAATTCTAGACCAGGTATGGTGGTACACACCTGTAATCCCAGCACTTGGGAGGCTGAAGCAGGAGGACCGATGGGAGTTTGAAGCCAGCCTGGGCCACAAAGTGAGTTCAAGGCCAGCCTGAATTGCATAATGAAACTGTCTCAAAACGACAAAAAAAAAAAAAAAAAAAAAAAAAAAAGTCTATCTGGCAAATATAAAAAACTTTTTCTCATGTGCTCTGAGCCCTTTTGTTTCCTTTAGTTTTATGGTGTAGGGCTGAATTTTGGTTGCCATAAGGCACCAGACACTGGTGGTTGTTCTCAAAGTATTTCCCTTTTGCTGTGGTATGAGTGTTCCACAGGTTTCAAGTACTGAAATTTAATCCCTATTGTGAGGTATGAAGAGGACAGAAACTTAATTAGCTGTGGTGCTGAGAGGGTGGGCGGCTTTGGGAAGTGATTAGTATAAGACCATTAAGGCTTTATAAGACAGAAATCATACACACACAAACACACACACATTCACACTCCTTGTCTCTACCCATGTGATACCCATCACTCACTGGGACTCTTGCCAGCAAGGTGACCATTAATCAGATATGACCCTTTGACCTTGCACCTCCAGAATTATGAGCCAAAGTAAGCTTTTTTTTTGGTGCTGGAGTTTGATCCGTTTCTTGCATATGCTAAACATGTGCTTTACCACCCAGCTATACACCCAGCTCGTTTTTTTTTTTTTTTTTTTTTAAATAATGACTGGGCACTACTCTGGACAGACTGCTTCAGGCTTCACAGCTCAAGGGGCAGATAAGAACGCTTCTGTCTAACTTTGGAGACACCACTCAGCTGTGTAGTGCAAGCATAGACCAGAGAAGAGTTATACAAGGATGTACGCATGCATTAGGTCAGTTAACATAGAAGTATATAAATGTCATAATCACCTGTGTAAGAGTTAAACAATAAAGCCACAGGCTGCTCTCTTGCTGCTGCCTGCCCTTTACTTATTTTTGGTTGAGACAGGGTCCCACTATGTAGTTTAGCTTTTTCCTGGGGACCTCCCCTGGGGAATTATTTATTCAAGCGTCCAGCCAAGACAGTTGACATAGTTGGCAGGATGATGAGGTGCACGTGTCCCCCTCTGGTGGTGAGGAACATCCCAGGGGTAGTAGCGCTGAGACGCACCCCTCCCCCACCCAGCCTCGCCTTGGTTATCTATAGCCACTTTTTTCGCGGCTTGGAGGGTTCCGAGACTGGGATGCTGTCAGGAACTGGGGGATGGTTAGACACACAAATTCCTCCCTCCCACAATGAGTTGGCAGGGAGTGGCCCGCCTGCAGTTGTACTGATGCGCTCTGCCCGGGAGGCTAGGGCCAGGGAGTCCTTGGGCTCCGTGAAGGGCGTCCTGACCAGCGGCACTAGGACACCAGATGGCCGAGACAGGAACAAAAAGGGCTGCCAGCAGGTCCCGGGGCAGGAAGGCTTCCTTGCGACAGCACTGGGCCCAACGTGATAAGAGGCCCTGAGATGCCGAGCAAGAAGAAACACAAAAACAAAAACAATGTCCGCTCCCTGCCCACACAGATCAAAAAGATCGTGCAACGGATGGGATTTGGAACAACAGCTGGTTGCCGCGGAGACCACTTTGTGAGACACAGGACGTGCTCTCTCTTCCCGAACTCCTGGGAGAGGGCTTTGATATTACTGCCGATGGCCCGACGGTGGACGTGAAAGAGGCTCTGCGGCAAAAACAGCCGCAGGTTAGGCCGGCCAGGCCGCATAAGTGAAGGGCGAAGTGGGCTGACAAGGCCTTCGGGTTGAGGCCCCGCAGCAGCTAAAAAACAACTCACAGACTTGGGCTTGAGCCATCTGGAGCCTCTGCGCACGCTGAACAAACGGACTGACAAACGCGCAGCTTCGGTTAGCGAACCAATGATAAAAGATTTGAACCTGAAGGGCGGGCTGGCAGGCACCCAAGGCTCAGACGCGGGCCTGCGTTGGCGCCACCGGTGACGTAAAAGTAAAGCGCCAAGGGAACGTAAGACCTATGCAGCCTCTTCCGCCAGGACCTGGGGCGCCTCGCAGATGAGTGACCACTGCGGCGACTCTCTGCCCAGAGAAAACTGCCCCGAACTGAAGATAGACGAAAACTACAAGGACGATCCCGAACAGCCCTAGGTTCTGAGGGTTCGGCTGGAGTCTAAAAACAGTGGAGCTCCTAGCTCAGGGAGGTGGGACCAGAAGAACCGCCCACCTCTGCCTGTCGCTGGAGGAGTTTCTAGAGAAGCGGTAAAACAAAAGGCAGGTGTCTCCCAGCCTTGCAGGACTAACCTGTCCGCCAGATCTGGACAGATCTCCTGGCTGCGGGCTTAGCAGCAGATAAGACAACAAAACAGCCTCCTTAAAAAAGAGGCACTTATTTCAAAATACATTCTGGTCCTTGTTTAAAGTGTAAATAAGGACCAGAATATATTTTGAAATAGGAAAATGTTCAGATGGGGAGAGGAAACAAAAAAGAGGAGGGGAAAGGAAAAAAGGGAAAATTTTTTAAAAATGAGAGAAGAAGGAAGACATGGAAACAAAGCTTTGTAAATGGAGAGGGGAGGAGGTATTGAAGCGAGGGTAGGGGCGTGGGGAAAGAGAAGTTATATCACATGCAGGTACAAATTCTCTATGATGAATGTGATTGTTGTGTATATCTAAAATGTACCAATAAAATCTAATGTTAAAAAAACAAGCCGGGTACTTGTAGCATTGCGCCAGGGTGCAAATGACTGGTGACTGGTGGCTCGTGTTGAGAACCCAAATGAGGCCAGGCTCAGCCACAGCTTGGAGACAACCACAATACACTGACATACAGGCTGCACATCACCTTGGTAAAAGCAAAGAGGACCTATAGTGGCTCTGAACAAGTGACAGGGTCTGTGGTGACATTACTCTCACAATGAAGTAATTGAGGGTATGCTTTTCCAACACACTGATCCTTTTGCTTAAAAATACTAAACACCCTATAGAAAGCTGGTCGGGGCACATGCCTCCAACAGTGGGCCTCCTTTTCAGCTAGTCTGCTGGTAACTGAGTGGCCTACAGGACCCATGTCGTTTATGGCACAGGAAACAATACACGATGGATTACAGGTCATGACACCTAGGTCCTCTACAGAGAAAAAAAAAGGACCTCTGGCTGATACCTAGCTATGGCACACTCACAATTGGGATGCTGTGTACCACAGGCAACATTATACTGAATGGGTGGCCTGGTGGTTTTATCCAACAGTCTTGATGTTGCCAAGGGCAGAGACCATAGACCTAGCCCTGCAAGCTGAAGCCCTTGCTCAACATATGGTCCAGGCCCTTAGTGTTACATGACAGGCTTTGATGTTGCTCATGAATGAGCCCTCTCAAGTGAAAAAGGTGGTTTTGCAAAACAATGTCTCTTGATTGGCTGACTATAGTGTAAGGAAGCCCCCTCACCCGGAGGTGGGAATGCTTGGGATCCACCTGCTGCTGGCTAGCCATCAGCTGCACTATGGCGGCAGTGTTCTGTTGTTCCCTGTGTTGTTGTGGCCTTTGTGCATAGGGGTCTATTCTATGGGCTGCTCACAAGAGACAACTTGCTCCTGACCTTTGGAGGGGTGAGATGTCTGACTGCTTCATGGTTCAAAGTTCAGGGGGACAGATAAGAATGCCTCTGGCTATCTTTGAGGATGAAACCCTGCAAGTGCAGACCACAGGAACAGTTATACAAGGATGAATTAGCAGTAGACAGGTATGCATGTGCTAGGTCAGTTACCATGGAAGAATTAAATATGTGATAACCACCTACATGAGAATAAAACAATAAAGACACAGGCTGCTCTCTTGCTGTGGCCTCACGTGTGTTCTTTTCCCTGGGGATCTCATCTTGCCGAAGTACTTTTTCAGGCCTCCAGCCATGACAGCAGTTTATGGTGTTGTTGTTAGCAACAGAAAATGCACCACTCTACCTCCTTTTCTCATAATCAGATTTTAGTTGACCACAAGGGTACATTTGGAGCTGTATAAATAAGGTAAGGGCGGCATTTTACAGATGGTGGACCACGTAGGCACAAAGAATTCGGTGAGACAAATGACTTTTTTTCTTGTGTTGGGGAGGGAACCTGGAGCCTTGTGAATGTTATATAAGTGCTTTATCACTGGCTACATCTCTAGCCCTTTAAAAATTTGTTTTGAGATAGGGTCTGGCTAAATGCCTCAGGTTGGACTTGAAGTTTTTTTTTTTTTTTTTGGTAGCAGGTATGGAATTTAGGATCGTGCACTTGCTAGGCAGGTACTGTGTCTCTGAGCTATATCGCTGGCCCTGGACTCAAAGTTTTGGTCCTCCTGCCTCAGCCCTCAAGTGGCCGGTATTATAGGTGTTTACCACTATGCCCAGCTACATTTCATTCTTGCTCAAGCAGCAATTATATTGTTTACTAAGTAGACAAAATTATTGACTCTCCTCTAGAGCAATAGAAATTTTATTTTAGTTAATGGATCTGGCAGAGTACTATCTCTGGCTTTCTCTGGTTTCTCTGATTCTATTGGAATAGAAGGAAATCAGTTCTTTCTGAACAACTGTCCTACCTCAGCGGTAGGAGTATGCCTGGTGGCCTGTCAGGCCATACGACTGAGTTGTCTAGGCTTACTGGCACAAAGTTGTGATCTCAAACTCATCTGTCAGGCCATAGAAGGGCTGTCTCCTTCACCTTGGCAATTGGGGTATGCTTCTTTTCCAACACACTGGTCAGCTAAGCAAGTGGGCATCCTTCTTTGTTAGCAAAAAATAGCTTGATTGGGTTGCAGTTCTTGGAAAGCACCAAGGGACCCCACAACTCTGTTTGTGTGTGTATATGTGTGTTTTTTTACAACAGATATTCATATGACCATCAAAAATTAACCTGAATTTTAGAATGACAGGGGATATGATTTCTCCAGTACTCTCTCGTTTTTGGCCAGAACAAAATGTGCAGTAAAACTTTTTCCTGCCTTAGAGCAACTGTAGAAGCATTGCTGCTTGCTCCAGGAGGCTCAGTGGTACCACTGGGGCAGTGCCTATAGTGCTAGTCTACTCACTGCAATTTTTGTACATTGCCCTTATTCTTACCTCAGTCATTTGACCAGCTAGATAATATGCAAAATAAATGTGACAAATACTATTCAGTGGGTTCCTTTTGGTGTCCTAAAATGAAAAAATATGTATATGAAAATGAAAAAAAATTGGAAAATAGTTCTAAATATCCTCTTCCTACACTCTAATAGATCATCTTATGTATGCTGTTTTGGAGATTATTAATTTCTGGCATAGCAAGTGTGTCACAAACTTGACTATTGATCAAAACACCTGTGGTACCTGTTAAATATGGGTTCTGCTTTTGCACGTATTATCCATGTGATCATGGTAAAGAATATACTTTCTCCAGTTTGCTGGCAGCCCTTGATCATCCCTATATATTCTACTTAATCTATTCACATATTTGACTTTACTGCTGTTATGGCTTGTGTCTAGATGTCCCCCAAAAGCCTCATGTGGTGATAGATGGGGCTATTCAGAGACGGTTGGAACTAGATTGTATGATGCTAGATTTAAGTGTGTGATGCTGGGGTCCATCCATGGTGTGATGCTAGGATTAAGGGTATCCCATCCTGAGTGTAAGTTCTACCCTAAGTGTGAGTAGCCTGGATAAAACATAAGGGACAGAAAGAGGGCTGCTGTTGATGCTTGCTGCTGCTTCCTTGCCACTTCACTGGTTTGGGGCCTTGTTTCCTTCTGCCCACCAGGAAGTGTTTCCCTTCTGCCATGCTTCTCTGCCATGCCACCTTGTCTTGGAGCAAGCATGGACTGAAACCTCGACAAACTGTGAGCAGCAATAAATATTTCTTCCTTTAATTTTGGGTGTCAGATATTGTGTCTCAGAAATAAGAAAAGTAACTTAAGACCCCTGTCAAGCTGCTGTAAACATCTGAGTTTTTAGTTCAATTTAGTGGGAAAGAAAAGTATAGGGATTTTAACAGTTTAAAGAAATTCAGTTAAGCTGGAACTTCTTTTTTTTTTTTTTTTTGTCTTTTTCATTTTTATCGATACCAGGGATCGAACTCACGACCGCCTGCTTGCAAGGCAGGTGCTTATGCCGCTGAGCTAAATCCCCAGCCCCTAAGCTGGAACTTCTGCATGCCCATGATCCCAGCACTCTGGGAGGTGAAAGCAGGAGGATCTCAAGTTCGACCTGGACATCTTAATGACTTAGTGAGGCCATGTTTCAAAATAAAAAATAAAAAAGAGAGATGGGATTATAGCTTTGTGTGGAAGCCTTAGGTTCAAGTCCTTAGTACTGACTAAAAAAAATCAAGGTAAATTTTTACAGTTTTGCGGAATACACTCATCTTAGTTGTTTAAGTAGGTGACTGTGGGCAAATATATACACTGTTATGGCCAACACCCCAATCAAAATGTACAGTTCTTTTACCCCAGAAAATTCTTTATGCTGCTTTCTAGACAATCCTCATCCTCCACAGGCAACCAGCAATGTGATCACTATTCTCATAGATTTTTTTGAGACACTGAGTTTTGGTACTTCATTCTTTGTACAACTCATCAGAAAGGAAAATTTGATAAAGATATGGAGTATAAGCACCAGACAGAGTGATGCCATGACATGCACTCTCAAGACTGAAGCACGATCATACTAATACCTGCTATTAAGTGATAAATACGTTCCAGTTATAGTACTAGGAATTTCATACCTCACAAGCAGTCAAAGTAAATACCTAGCTTTGTAAGAGCAGGAACCAAATAGGAGTAAAAGTTAAAGTGAGCTGCCACCATGCACACATTAATATGAGTAATTTGCCTGTGTGAAGAAGTAAGAACTAAAGATAGAAAGGTCGATTAGGGAGTTTAGAACTTATGCTATAGATGCTTCGGAGCTATGAAACACTAGGGAGACTCTACAGAAAGATTCCTTGCTTTTTTCTCTTTCTTTTTTATATGGGAATTGAACCTGGGCTTTTGCATTGAGCTACATCCTTAGTCCTTTTCAAGGTTTTTATTTTAGAATAGAGTCCCCTTATGTCACTAAATTTCCCAGGCTGGGCTTGAACTTGTGATCCTCCTGCTTCAGCCTCCCAGAGTGCTGGGAATATAGGCATGTGCCCCACCATGCCTGGCTCCCCTTTATAAATTAATAATATGAAGTTTTTTAGAGCTTACATAAAATACTTATAGGAAGTAGGAGGTTGGCTACAG